GGCGCAAACGCATCATGATGTACGAGTCGTGTGTTCACATTGGAGCCCATGCCCGTAGAGACTTCTGGCAAGGAGGGAAAAATTACTCCATCAAACAAGTTGCCATAGTGCTGGTGATCCTGAATCTGAAGATTTGGTGCCGCCAAATTTTGTAGGTAGGAGAATGGTGTTGATGCGCTGCGTGATTGGTCTTGTGGAACCAAAGCGTCGTGAGCGTAGGGGTTTGACGCTACACCACTCTGACTGAAGTGATCAAAGGTAAACTGGCTCATCCTGCTTGCGTTGGTATTGTCCATGGCAAAGACTAAAACTCACAAGTCGGCACAGAAACAAAATGGAGAGGTTCTGAACAACGGTTGCAGTGAATAGGCATGAATCTGGGTGGTGGTACGAGTTAATAGGGAGTTGATGGTGATGAGATACGATGTTATTTATTATTATTATGAAATGACCCAAAGGCAATGTGCCTATCGAGGGGTTCATTTGATTGAAAGAACAGTAGATGTAGATGTATGTACAAAGAGAAGTAGGGATTGATGAGGAGAGAAATGGGGAAAATCAACTGCAAGGTGGCGGAATTCCGTTGATTGCATAAGCATAGTCAGCTGTAAATTTCCTGAGGGCAGCTTTGAACTTATAGAGCGAGGCTTCCGATGTTAGACTGGGGGGTAAACAGTTCCATAGAATAGCAGTTCGGAACATGAAGAGAGACTTAGACAATGATTTAAATTTGGGAAGAATGATTTTATTTGGTCGTCGCTCACTATTCGTAATCTTGAAATGGAAATCAGCAAGGTAATCACGATGATGGAAAACATATCTGTGAAAAGTAGTGAGACTGATGATTTGACGACGATAGGCTAGTGACTCTAGGGAGCATTTAGAATTTAAGACAGATTTGGAAGAAGTGTAATCAAATGCAATTTTTTTCTTTTTCAGTAGAGCTCTAGCAAACCTTGCCTGTAATTGATCAAGAGTGGTCATGGGTTTCTTATTAGATCCAAACGACCACACCGTACAGGTATATTCGATCACAGGTCTTACAAACCCTTTGTACAGTATGATCATTGCCGAAGGCGTAAGTTGCTGGGACATAATTGACAGTAGGTGCACTCGATATCTGAACTTCGAAGTTATTGAGGCGACATGTTTGCGGAAATCCAGGTTGTCGGTCAAGGTGATGCCAAGATGTTGCAGTTCAGAAACCACCGTTAATGGCTCATTGTACATTTGGTATTGGATTCCTGCAGGTGGTGTATCATTGATAGCTCTATGGCACAGCACGGATGTCTTGCTTGCTGAGAATTCACCTCCATTGTTCTTGCCCCATGTTTGACATGCATCGAGATCAGACTGCATGTTCGCTCTACTGGCGAGGGTGTCTTCAGGTTTGTAAGCCAGTAGGAGGGTGACATCATCTGCAAATAGATATTGCGTGCAATGTTGCATAGCGTTGGGCAGGTCATTTATATAGAGTAGGAATAGGAGTGGTGAAAGGTGGGAACCTTGAGGCACTCCGCAGTTGATGCTCCGCTTCTTCGATTTAGTGCTATGTACCTTCACTTCAATTTGTCGATCCCCTAAGAAGCTCTTCAGCCATTTTACTGATGAAGCTGTAGCAATCTTACCGAATTTCTTTAGGAGTACAGAGTGGTCGACCCGGTCGAAAGCTTTCCTGAAATCTAGAGATATCAGGTCAAAATTAGTGCCACTATCAATATTTACAGCCATTGATTGGGTTAGCAAGATAAGTTGGTCCGTTACAGACTTGTTGCGTACATATGCGAATTGACCTTTACAAATTACACCCTGGGTCATCAAGTATCGAAGTAGACGTTCCGAGAGAATCTTTTCCATTAGTTTCGCTATGCATGGGAGAAGGGATATAGGTCTGTAATTGGTAGGCTCTTTGGCGCAACCTCTATTCTTGTACACCGGTATTACAGTGGATGATTTCCAGGAGGACGGGAACACACCATCATCAAGGCTGTAGTTGAACAATACTGATAGTGATTGGGAAAGGATATCTGCGAATTGCTTTAGTATACGGTTTGTCAGGTTGATGTCTGATGATGATTTATGTTGTTGCAGCCTCTTTGCTGCATCGAAGACTTCAACAGGGCGTATGTTTCCGAATCCAAATTTGTTTCCATCGACGTCGGCTTCATTGATTGTTATACTAGTTGCTACAGTATTCGGCGGCGTTGACTGAGTGGTGCATTGGCGGGCAAAGAAGGTACACAGCGTTTCGGCCTTCGCTTGATCTGTTTTGTGAATTTCATTGCCGTTCTGCAGGTCTGGAATTGCCTTTTTATTTGTTTGGTCAATATTGCATATTGCTTTGGCACGTTTCCACCACGCATAGCCACCCTTTCTTTCCTTGCCAAGCATTGTGTATCCGAGCGTTGACAAGTATGTGTCCTTGGCGGCTCTTAATGACCGGTGGTACAGGTTGCGCGAGAGTTTGTATGCAGCTCGTAAGGAATCGTTGAGTGGCTCCTTTCGGTGGAGCACATAGAGACGGTTAGTTCGCTGACGTTGCGTCTTAAGTTTTTTTGTGAACCATGGTTGGTTCGACTGGGTGTTTTTCCGGCGTGTGATGGTCGTTGCTGCCTGAATTGCCTGGTCCAGCAGTGCAGAGTAGGCCATGCATCTGAAACTGATGTGCACGTTGGTGCCCTGCATGCATTCGGTCAATGGTAGTGTGCTCAGTTTCTGCCTGAGGAGGTGCATGTCAACCTTTCTGGAGACTGCGGCTGCGTTGACAGTACTTCTAGAGTGGCGTTTCTCTGGTGGAGAATATGCGCAAAATAGAGGACAGTGGTCTGCAATGGGCATGGATGTGTAACATGAAGTGACAAGATGGGGCATATTAGTTAAAATCAGGTCTAGGGACGGATTAGAATCTTTAGTTGGCCTCGTTCCATGGTTCTTGGAGACCATAGTGAAGCCATAGTCGTCAAAGGCGGACTGCATGTGTCTACCTGCAGTGTTCGTAGGGTCTGCGTTGTTCCACTCATTGTTCTTGGAGTTGAAGTCTCCCACGACAATTACTGGACGGTTGTCAACGAGGGGTGAAGAGGACTGAATGAGTTGCAGAATGCAAGACTATCGTGTCTTGGAGGACGGTACATACAGGAAATGATTGTAGCTCCTGTTTCGACAGTTATCATCTCTGAATTGTTGCACTCTAGATCCCGGCGGCGCATAGCACAAAGGGCGGACGAAGAGAAGACTGCTACCCCACCACCACCCAAGTCGCTCCATGTAGTGCTGCACTGGGACCGGTCACGACGGAACAGGTCGTAACCCGGTATCTGAATGATCTCGTCTGGGATACACGAATTTAGCCACGTTTCCGTTATACACAAAATGTCTACTTTATGGTGGTCAAGGAGGTCTGTAATATCAGCCAGTTTATGTTTCATACTACGACAGTTCAGGGTACATATCCGAATGCAAGAATTATTGTTATTGTTGTGGGGGGATGCGTTTACTGGTGTGGTATCAGGTGGAGGTTGTTCTCTTACAAACGTTGAGTGGGGTTGGGCACGATAGGTGCGAGGCATGAAAACTGGTGCATGGGGATTGAGTGGGAACACGGTCGTGGCTGCTGTTGAGCGGGGTTGGGCACGATAGGTGCAAGGTATGAAGACTGGTGCATGGGGGTTGAGTGGGAACAAGGTCGTGGCTGCTGTTGAGCAGGGTTGGGCACGATAGATGCGAGGTAAGAAGACTGGTGCATGGGGATTGAGTGGGAACACGGTCGATTAGATGGTGGCTGTGGGCCTATTTGCCTCGCTGAAGTCCCATGGCCTGTTGAGGTGCAGGTGGGAATGTCTCTCAGTTAGTGGTTCTAGAGTTATGCAATGTTAGTGCTGCGGGTCGATACAGGTGAGAAATGGGAAATTGTTAGGGGTGTACAGTCCATTTCAAAACTATAGACGCGTACCTAGGCAAAAACCGTTATGCCAGCATCTATACCACATAAAATCTGTGATCACTTTGTGCATAATTTTTTCCAAATTGGGCGTCTGTTATCCAATCCTTTAGAAACTATATGAGAGTAATTGTGGAGCGATCCTGAGCAATATTCCGAAAACTATTCTCAAAACGTTCCAGCAAAACCCTACGCGTCTATAGTTTTGAAATGCACTGTAGGTGTGTAGTCTAACCAAAGGTGTCGGTGTGCGTGGAAGATAGACGTTGCGAATGTGGCAAGTCATGCTCGATAGGATATGTGAGTCAGTGTGATGGTGTGCTGTATTAGTCTGCCATCAGCTGAAGGCGGGTGAGAAGTGGTAATCTAGGCGAAAATTGAAAGGCTGTGATTGAAAGTAGAATAGAGATTCACGTGTGCAATGCGTTTGTGCATGCAGCATTGTGTAGCTTGTCATTTGGGGAGGGGGGGGGGGGGGGTAGCCATCATGATAAACAAACTCTTCGAGGTGTCGTTCGCTTGCTTCTTGCCATAGTTATCGCTGAACGCATCTCCTGTTTTAGGGTATGTCAGCACTCACGGGCATGGTTATCTGCCAATCTGTGCTGTTTTCTACCTGAAGAGTTGAGGTATTACTCTCGACATGACGCTGGGTTAGATTAGAGAGGTTCTTAAAAAACGAGAATGCGTGCAAACCTTTGCTCTACATCATGAAGTGATAAATTTTGCACGAACTTTCGCAACTTTGTGCTCGCCACTTGTACTTGTCGTCTTGGTGGTATGGCAAGTAACCTTGAAATATGTGGCGACTGGATATGTTGTCTTCCTCAGTGTTAGACCATTGCTGGCAGTTTGAGAAATATAATCATAGAGATAGGAAATACATCGTTCTACAACACCTGCCCCCTTTGACGACATTCCACAAATAAATTTTGATGTTGTTTGTTTGTAGTGAGAATTCAAGTCCGCAGGAAAACCGCGAGCTCCCATGTAGGGAGCATCAAACTTTTCCCTGTTTCTTTGTTTGTTTACCTTTTTGAATTCACAAATCCAAAACGAGTACATGGAATAAACGACCAAAACGTTCCACATACACAACAGCAACATGTAGCAACAGGAAACACAGCAAAAGAGAAAAGCCACAAACCAACAAGGTAACATTGTAGCAAAACTCGGCAAACCAAGAATGCGACTAAAAACTAAACGCGAGGCAGGAGACAGGGAGAATTAAATCGAACATTCCAAAAACCAATATAGTACCCTGTACATATACTGTTTTGCAATAATATATATATCAAAGACGTGAGGGTGTTGATAGCGGAGGGTGTTAGGATGGGTGCAGCAGCAAATGCAGTTTAGTCCAGGATACTACTTGTACACACACACACACTTGTCAGATCATTCTATTGCTCAAATTCCACACATTGCACGCCAACACAGAAATCATGTTTCCAAAAACGTACACCCTATAACATCATTTCCTGGCGCTGTTATCTTCTGATTTGGTGCTCCTACCGACATTGTCGTGTTTCAACTGGAGATGCTGGTCCAATAGAGCAGTGCCTGTTTAGTTGCATCCACTGGCAGGTTGGGTTTGCTTCTTGACATTCGCCTTGTGGCGAAGCACATGCAGGTTGCGGCTGGAGGACTGTGAGAATGCCTGTTCACAGCCCGGGATTGTACACTTATACGGTTTCTCACCTGTGTGTGTTCTCTTGTGGACGGTTAGTACTGATGGGTCAGAAAAACGTTTTTTGCATCTGTCGCAATGATATTATGGCTTCTCCCCAGCGTGTTTTCGGATGTGTACAGTTAGATCACTCTTCCGCGAGAAGGCTTGTCCACAATCTGTGCAACGATATGGCTTTTCACCGGTGTGCACTCTCATGTGTCTTTTCAGGTCCGACGGATATGAGCAACTCCTTTTGCATTCCGGGCAGACTAGTTTGGCTTTGGCAGATTTTGCAGGTTCTTTAGTCGACAGCTGCAGTCCAAGTAAGTTACTCTGTGGTAGTGGCTCGTTGAGGTCGTGTTGATTTGGTAGCATTTCCGGTGAGCTCCGGAGTTGCGGCGTATGGAGATGTTGTTGTTCTCGTTGCGGGTCTCTTGCTGGTGATGGTGATAGCAACACATTACTTCCACTCGAAGAGGCTAACACATCATGAGGTAATCCTGTATTTGCAATGCATCCCGTGCCGGTAGAGACTTGTGACGATGACGGCGAGATTGTTGCATCACCCAAGCTGTTGGGTAGGTTGGGCTCAAGGAGTGGGCGGAAGGGAAATGGTGTCGCTGAGTTATCAGGTTCTTTCAGTGACGGTAGCTGACCAAGTAAGGTGCTTTGTGGTAGTGGCTCCCTGAGCTCATGACGACTTTGTGGCATTCCAGGTAAACTTGGAATATGATGCGGCTGGAGACGTTGTCGTCCTGTTTCTGAGCTGTGTGATTGGTCCTGTTGAACCGAAGCGTTGTGAGTGTAGCTGCTTGCTGCTCCATCACTCTGACTGGGTTGATCAAAGGAAGGATGGCTATTCCTGCCTGCACTGCTATTGTCCATGGCAGAGACTACGGACCGAAGTCGGAATATAACCAGAATCAAGAGGTTCTGAACACTAGTTGCAGTGAATATGCAGAATTCTTTGTAGTGGCTTGAGGAAATAGGCAGTTGATGGTGCTGAGAAAAGGTGAAACTGTGAAGGTGGACATATCTAACAGTCAGTGGTGCCGCGAGGAGTTGGCAGGGTAAGTGTTGCGGGTCGATGCAGGTGAGAAAAAGGAAATGATCAGAGTGTACTGTATTGTATTGTATTGAATTTATTTTACTTCACTGGCTCAACAGTACAATGTACAACTACAAAGAGGCCAGGATAACCGATCAAAAGGAGATAAGTGCGGACTGGAAATAGGTGTTGGTGTGTCAGGAAGAAAAAAAAGGTGACAAATGTAGCAAATCATCTTAGATAGGGTAAGGATTTCAGGTTAAGAGAAGTTGTGATTTGGGCTAAAACTGCGAAGCTGTCCAGTGTAATAGAAATTAGCGGATGCATGGAGAGGCATGCATGCACTGTGGTACCGGTAGTGTTAGGATTGACTCGGATTCAGAGCCAAGAATAAATTGATGGAATAGAAAAAGGGACCAAGGAACTACAAGTTACGCTATAGTATCCACTAACAACACCTTCCCCTCCTATGTTATCATAATAGATGTACCTTAGAACCTTCCAAGTTGGCAGGCTGTTGGGGTGCGTATCCAAGATGCGCTAGAGCTGATAGCCAGTTAGTTGTAGAACAACAGTACCATCCGTCAGTGTCGATCAATAGGGACCTTTAGCACCACGTTACAACGTAGGCCTTTTGACGTACTTGATCACGTCGATCGGGGTGCGCGATACGTGTTTTGCATACTTGGCTAGCCTTTAGCAAGACGTGATTATGGATCGACGTCGTTGCCACAGGAACAGAGCAGAATGGCGCGCTTGATTTCAAAGTTCCTAGCGGGAAATGTGGAAGAAAAGACTTGAAGAAAAGACTTTTTTAGTAAACTCCTGTACATATACATGTACTTCGAAAATTAGTTGATTTCCTTCAAGGAGAGAGAAAGAGAAAGAGAGAGAGCGCGTGTAGAGCACCTTATGCAGTTTACCTAGTAAGTTGCAAACACAGCGTTTCTGGGCAGTCGATGATTGTTGATGGCTGCCAGATTTCAGGATGCTCGAGATTTTGAGCTGTACATGACATGCGTGATGGACGAAACTACCGGTTTCCATTTGGCGTCGTAGTTGGTTGTCAAATTCAGGAGTACAGTGTTCCAGGCAGGCGAGCCACGAGAGAAGGGCTTTTCGCTCGACGCTGCCACTGCTTCTTTCAACAAATTGATGTCCTCCTTGGTTCCAAAACGAAACTTCTGGCACACAGCCTTAGTCTGCGTGTCCTCCGCAGCCATACCGAAACAAATTTTGCTCGGAGAAGAGGATACCGGAAACACAAAACAAAGATAGCAAAGAATAAAATTACGCCTAGTGCCTCTCAATCGATCGTACCTCGTAGGTTACAAAACAAAAACTACAACCAAGAGTTCATAACTAAAATGAACTCTTGCTACAACATAAACACATCGACGTTATTTGAACTCTTGCCCTCTTGGTGCAAAGTGCAAAGGCAAATTCCTACGTCCTGCCACAACGTACAAAAGGCCTTTTCTACGTCGAAAACGTTGCCTGATGAACGTACATCCTACGTCGCGACGTGACCCCGAACCCGGACAAGGGCCTACGTCAGGCTTACGTAGTGAACAACGTGGTGCTAAAGGTCCCTAATGTTATCGCATGAGCTGCGAGCCCGCGTTGACCTCTTTACATAACTGTTGAGTACGAAAAAGACGACGACATCTTCTCAAGACATAACAACGGACAACGGGAACAGGTTAGGTCGAACAACATTTTATTGGGGAGACGAAGAGACTGAGACAAAGACGAACGAAACGACAAAATTATGGAAGAGAGAGACAAGAGGTAGAGATCAAGTGTGAACGGCAAGATAAAGGGCCTGGGTAGCTATGGCAATTATGGGCGCGGAAGTAGCTAGCTTTTTCTTTTCTTTTTGTTTTTATTTGAATTCGGATAGCTCAACAGTACAGAAGTACAACTACAAAGAGTATCGAATAGAAGGTCCCGAGAACGGGAAACAAAAAAAACAACAAAACAAAAACAGCAACATCAATTTACTGATTATGCACATTGCTTGAAAGCAAATCACAACAATGAATAAGAGTTAAGCTGTCTTTTACCCAAATAGCCAATTTGACGCGGAAATCTGCGATAGTAGTGCAGGACTTCAGGTCGTCTGGTAAATAATTCCAAACAAGAGCCGATTTACTTGCTACCCAGGCCAACGGAGCGTAGAGAAAAGGTGAGCACGAGAGTGCATGCAGGCCAACTTGGATAAGGTTATAGAAGGTACGGGAGGAGGTACCTACCGTCACGATAGGTGGCATGTGTCTTTTCAAACTGAGAATTTGTTGTTTATTGTCTATTATTTTGGCTATTGGAGATTCACGCATCCTGAACGTCTCTGGCTTTCTCTTTTCTTTCTGAGTGCTTTGATAGATATGACCAGGGAGTAGAACACGACACGAAACTACAGCTACAAGACACGATCTTCGTACGATTACGGAAGTGTGAAGTTGATTGTTGGGCGTTTGCTGTTAACCTTTAACAATAAGGATTCAGTTTCCTCTGGTATTTTCTCAGCAGTTACAGTGTCATCCGTGTAGCGAACGAAAACGTCTCAGTAGATGCTGTGTCGATTTTGAAGCTGTCCATGTTGATGGCGGCTAATGTAGTTCAGAGTTGGCTTCCCATTGCCAACCACCCTTTCTGCTGTAGAAACCAGATATAGCAGAATCCTTATTGAGAAATAACATAATTATCTCTGATACAAGCGCAGTCTCTTGTAGAATGGAGAACTGTATGGATCGTGTCCATGCAGGTTTGACATAACAAAGTGTCACATACCCAAATGCTGCGCACTGAGTACAAACACCAAGGCTGCCATATTCGAGAACGGGTCGGATGTAGGTCGTGTATATTAATAATTGGCTGGAAGCGTTCATCGTGCCACATGTCTTGTGGAGTTGGTGTAGTAGTTTTATTGGCTTTGTTGGTAATTTATATGATGTGTTGGGTCCATCGCATATCGTCTTGGAGTGTAACGCCAAGGTGCCTATGTTATTGGACCTCCTGCAGCAGAGTCGATTGGAGCGTGATGTGGATGATGTGTTGGTTTTGAATGGAAAGGACGACGGTTTAAGTGGTGTTGACGAGGAGATGCCAATCCTTCAACCATCGTCCTGCTGCGTGTCATGCACGTTGGAGGAATGCAGCGGATAAATCCCTCGTGTAATGCGTCGCGATGAGTGCCGTGTCATCGGCAAACTGGGTGCATTTGGAGTGCGAGTTTGTACATGCTGGGGGTAGGTCGATCGTGTACACCAGGAAAGAAGGTGCCCCAGACAGAGCCTTTGGGAACCCCAGCTGGAATGGATTTCCATGATGAAAAGGCGGAGCCAACCTTGACGCGTTGTCGGCGGCGAGTCAGGTAGCTTGTGAGCCAGCTATGGGCAATGCCATGGACACCAAGGTGCTTGAGTTTGGCCAGGAGGCCAGCATGCCAAACTCCGTCAAAGGCCTTTGATAAGTCAAAGACACATGCTGACACAATGTGACGGGCATCTCGGCTGGCGGAAATCTCATGCACAAGGCGGGAGAGCTGTATTTCAGTGCTATCCTTAGATCGAAAACCAGATTAGTCGGCCGGTAGGTGGGGCTCAATGTGGGCGTTGGTGAACAATTCTCTCCTGAACCTTGCTGACAACGCTCAGGAGCGAGATTGGCCGTAAATTGGTTATCTCTGCACAAGAGGCTTTCTTGTGTAGAGGACTGATAGTGGCGTCGCCCCAGTCCTGTTGCTGCTCGCCTCGCGAGAAGGACTCATTGAAAAGCGTTGCGAGGGAGCACAATATTTCCTCTGCAGTGATCTCAAGCAATTTCGTCGGGATGTCATGGTACACAGCCGACTTCCGGAAATCAAGAGCGGAAAGGAGTTTTCTGACCTCCTCCAGGGTGGTGGTGATTCCCTTCAGTTCGCTTCGATAATGCGCGACACGCCTATCTCTGGTACGGCTTTAGTTTATATTATATTTATTGCAACATCTCAAGACTCGGTGGAAACACCGGCCAATGTGAAGAGAGTGGGTGATTGCCAACAACGGCGATAAATATAAGGAAGGGGAGGGAAAAAGAACAGCAGAATCCTTATTGAGAATTAACATAATTATCTCTATTACAAACGCAGTCTCTTGTAGAATGGAGAACTGTATGGATCGTGTCCATGCAGGTTTGACATAACAAAGTGTCACATACCCAAATGCTGCGCACTGAGTACAAACACCAAGGCTGCCATATTCGAGAACGGGTCGGATGTAGGTCGTGTATATTAATAATTGGCTGGAAGCGTTCATCGTGCCACGTGTCTTGTGGAGTTGGTGAAGTACTAGTAGTTTTATTGGCTTTGTTGGTAATTTATATGATGTGTTGGGTCCATCGCATATCGTCTTGGAGTGTAACGCCAAGGTGCCTATGTTATTGGACCTCCTGCAGCAGAGTCGATTGGAGCGTGATGTGGATGATGTGTTGGTTTTGAATGGAAAGGACGACGGTTTAAGTGGTGTTGACGAGGAGATGCCAATCCTTCAACCATCGTCCTGCTGCGTGTCCTGCACGTTGGAGGAATGCAGCGGATAAATCCCTCGTGTAATGCGTCGCGATGAATGCCGTGTCATCGGCAAACTGGGTGCATTTGGAGTGCGAGTTTGTACATGCTGGGGGTAGGTCGATCGCCTGTACACCAGGATAAGAAGGTGCCCCAGACAGAGCCTTGGGTACTCCAGCTGGAATGGATTTCCATGATGAAAAGGTGGAGCCAACCTTGACGCGTTGTCGGCGGCGAGTCAGGTAGCTTGTTAGCCAGCTATGGGCAATGCCATGGACACCAAGGTGCTTGAGTTTGGCCAGGAGGCCAGCATGCCAAACTCCGTCAAAGGCCTTTGATAAGTCAA